GGGTATAACAGCACTATAAGTGTTTATCAATGTTTTAGAATATGCGAACTTTTTCACGCGTGACAATGAGCCTATACCAAGAGCAGGCATTTAGAAAATATTAGCACCATGCATGATGAAAAATGTGCTTGCTTATTCGTAATAGGCACACACAACACTATTGGTATCACCTCAGTGCAAGATAATCCTATTAGTATATTACCATTGATTGTGCTATGTCAAAAGTACTGCTAGAAACAGTGATCGTGTTCAGAAATATTCCAAGAGTAGCCTGCACACTTGTGTAGCACCAGCGAATTATTTTCATGCTTCCCAAAACTGTTAGAACTCTTGTAATGATTGTCACAGGCAATTAATAACAGCTTGCCTTTTTTTTAACATGACAATGCGTCTGTGGCTACCTACAATGTCATAATGAAAAGTGCAATTTGTACACCGTTTCTTGTGCTTTACATTTATAGCTGCTAGGAGTATTCAACTACAATTGCCGATTCTATAAGTGACATGTTTTATGTTTAACGAGGCACCTAGGAGTAACACGTTCCATTGGGTAAGGTTGTGATGAACTTCATAGGCTATTCCCTCATGTAGACTCGCAATAAATATTACAAAACATCTTCATAGAAGTAATGCTGTTTTACAGAAATATACACAATGAAACCAAGGAAGAGTGTCATGGCAATATTAGAGAGAGCCCACATAAAGACTTTTTCTTGTCTGAAGAAGGTTAGAATGTCAACACTGTACAACAAACACCTACTTTCAACTTCCTGAATGGTTTCACCAAACTGCTACAATACCAAGGAAAGATAACACACACACACAGCTACATACACGAAATTCGCCGATATACCTGGCTCCAATGTCAATCATGTAAAGTAACCCCCTGAAACACTGCACTGCATCAGTAACATCGCAAGATACTTTTCTCCTTTGTGCCAGAAACCTTTATATTTAAATAATACATATTCCATAATTTAGATGTGGAAAAAAAACTGTTGAAAATGGCAGTTACAGCCAAATGGGCAGAAGCCACAATGTTTGAGTGGCATTCGCACTAACATTAAGAATAAAGCTAGCACATTAGGATATAAAATAAATAACGTACAAAAAAAGAATAAAAAACAGAATGCAGTTACTTAAAATTTTGAAGAAACTTGAGGTACTTTTTTACATGGCTTTTGAGACTACGAAGTCTGGTTTGAACCAACGAAATGTTCAAACACAATCCCATAGTACAACTTGAATTGTGATTGAACATCATATTCTGCATCATTTACCTCGATCCAATTGCACCTGCACGTTTGTCTGAAACTTTGCTTACAATGGTCAGTGCTTCCCACCTGACAGATCCATCAACGTAAGTTGTACGCACGATAAACATGCGTTCCATGTTCTTACACAACAAGTAAATATAATTTCCGGCAGAACAATCTTCTCAGCCCATTAACAATACAACGACCATTCACAGTTATTCTTCCCCTACTACAGTTGTCGTGGGTAAGCAAGGGCACATCTGCTTGAAACTGAGTGCACTTGGTCAAAAAAAATTAAGCTAATGTAAAGATCTAAGACAGAAAAGCAAAACGTTTTAACATGTGATTAACATAAACTGCCACAATGAAATGCGGCAAACTGCAGTGGCTGAGGAACTGCTGAGGGCTAGTGATGAGTTGTAAACCTACATTCTAAATTATACTAAAGACGAGAGAATGCTTGCAATATTGATGCGTTGTAAGGCATGAGGTTATTACAACGCTCGAGCGCAGATCGCAAGATATGCAGATGGCATGACGGTTGCATATCTTGTTTTCATTGTACATACCTCGATGCAGAAATTTACTGCGTCTTAAACATGCAGTGATGGTGAAACTACTGAACACAGGACCGCCTACTTCAACATGGTAATGGCCAGCAGACCATTGCCAGCAAAGTTTTACTGATCTTTGTAGATGCTTTGTTATAAAATGATACCAGGCATATTGACCGAAACGTATTGCTACACCCTTGGTAATATTAGTGCACACACACATATTTTGAATCTTTGGCACAACAGTAGTCTTACAATGACAATAAACTTTAGAAGTAATGAAACAGCAAGTATTGTATTTCAGCCATTGTCACAAATCTTGCATTACATCACGAACACTACCACACCAGCTTGTTGTGGATTATCTTATTTCTCTTAGCCAGCACTTCCGAGCCTCACAATGTCCCGTAGGTGGGTGTAGGACCCCCCTAAGAAAGATAGTTTCTAATATGAAATAACAGCACAAATGAATTGACATAGTAATTCTATGATGCCCTAACACAATATGATGCTACAGTGGTAACCGTATCTCAACAACATGAGATTGCTGAAGTGAGCAAATGGTGCACATTTTTCCCATGCTGTATAAACGAGTTTAATAAGCCTGGCATTGCTGCTTGTAAATAGTGTCTCAACTACAAGACTGATAATACAATACACATTTCCACTTTTTACCGCAACTGCACTTTT